GTGCTTCCCTGCTTTCAGTGCTGGTGCCCAGCACTGGCATGTTTCAAATGATCCCTCACAGGTCATGATTTGTCCAACATTGATCATAGTCTTATAAAAAGGATGAACATAAAGGTACAAACTTTCACAGTTTCCCCCTCACCCTGTCTATTTCTGTCCCTGTCACTGCCTGCTCATCTTTTCCTTGCATGAGAGTCATTGTGCTTCCCTGCTTTCAGTGCTGGTGCCCAGCACTGGCATGGCCCTGCTATCTAGAAGAGCCAATTGGCAGAATCTTCAGAGAATGTAACTACCAAACATCAGCAAATTTCATGTACAAATGGCAGTTTTTCAGATTTTTATTATTTGGTTAATTTGAGTGAATTTTAATGGGACTAGAAAAAAAAATACTTCCATCACCCTAGGATTGTTTCTCCCCTCACTTGCCAAATTTCAAACCTTGTTCCAAAGATCTGAGGTGCTGGAGTTTCTCATCCAAAAGGATTATTTATTTTTTTAATATTAGTGTAGGGATCCTTCCAAGACATTTTCTACTGAACGCATTGTCCATTTCTGGGAGAACATCTAGTTCTCAGGGATTCAAAACACTCATTTTGACTCTGGATTTCAACATTCCAGTTCCTTTATATTGAGGATAAAGCAAAGCTTTGCTGAGTTGATCAAACTTATGCGTAGGTGGGAGGTATAGGGCATACCCCACATCCAAAGTTACACAGACAACCTCTTCCTTTTATACGGTACACATTTATACATTGAATTGCATTTGTTACATATTAAATTATAAATTGGCTTTGTTATTTTGCAGGAACCAGTCCTTGTACAACATGTTCTGTCTGTGTGCCCTTCATGTTTTATTAGTCTTTAAGGTGCTGCTAGACTATTCATTGTTTTTTAAGTTTTTTCCGTTACAGACTAACTTGGCTACACCTCTGAAGCTTATGTTCCAAGATTATCTTGTCAATAGTCCCTATCATCAAGGTGTTTCTGCTTATTTTAGCTATCACAGACATACTGACTCCAGCATATTGTTTGTCAAGCCCCTGTTAGCAATTTTGCCTACAATTAGCAAAACTGCATAGTTCCCCCAAACTCATTCTCTGAAACAGCTGAATTTAAAAAAAATCAGTCTGAGTTTGACACTCGGCGTGGAAAATTTCAGCCCTAACTTTTAAAGTTTGGCAAAGTTAAATGCAACTGAGAACAGCATCTTATAAAAGAAAGTGTTAGGCCACCTTAACCATTTGCATCCTTGTCTGCTCTGCCTACAAGAGATAAAACAATACAATAGATAAAAATGACTGAAAGCGGTAACTAGCAGGTGATATCTTTTATTCTGATGGTGAAAGAGATAAGCTTTCTTCAGGTCTGGGAATCTTTCTCAAAGTGTCCCCAACTAAATTCAAGATGGACTAGATTGTTTAGCATAAGCAGTTAACATATATGTCAAGGGACCACTCATGATGAACTGGCCTGTTGTATAAAGCTGTGCCATTGTAAGTCTGTGTCTACACTGGAGAGCTTTTCCAGGAAAGCGGATGCATTCTTTTGGCATCCCTGTATTCCTCCTTGTATGAGGAATAAGGGATGTTTTGAAAGAGGAGATTTTTCCGATATTTGGCCCCATGTAGAGGGGCCAAATTTCAGAAAAGCCTCTTCCAAAAAAAAAAAAAAGTAGAAAAAGATACGTAAATTGTGGTTCACAATTATATAACTCCAATATAACTCTGCAGTCTAGACATAGCCTAAGAGTGCTAATGTAGCTGTGTTATACTGACAGGAGAGAGTTGTCCCATCAATATAATAAAATCAGCTCAAAGAAAGGCAGCAACTGTGCTGGCGAGAGTCTCCTGCCAACATAGTGCTGTGCACTTGAGCGCTTATTCTGGGAAAACTTATGTTGCTCAGGGAAAAGGGTGGTGGTGATTTTTTTCACTCCGTCAGGCAACAAAAGTTTCACCAAAATAAAGGCAAGTGTAGACGTGGCCTAAGTTTCCCAGGCATAAAAGAAAGAGATCTGTGTAATTTGAAAGCTTGTCTCTCTCACCAACAGAAATTGGTTCAGTAAAAGACATTATCTCACCCACCTTTTCTCTCTAATATCCTGGGACAAACACTGCGGCTGTGTCTACATTGTCAAGATTTTGCGCAAAAGCAAGTGCTTTTGTGCAAAATCTTGCCGCCTGTCTACATTGGCCGCGAGTATTTGCGCAAGAAAACTGACTTTGTAATGTACAACATCAGTGGTTCTTGCACAAATACTCTGATGCTCTCGCTCAGGGATAAGCCCTCTTGCGCAAGTATTCTTGCGCAAGAGGGCCAGTGTAGACAGCAATGTTAATTTCTTGCGCAAGAAAGCCCGATGGCTGAAGTGGCCATCGGAGCTTTCTTGCACAAGAGAGCGTCTACACTGGCACGGATGCTTTTGCGCAAAAGCAAATCTTTTGTGCAAAGGCACATGCCAGTATAGACGCTCTCTTGAGCAAATAATTTTAACAGAAAAACTTTTCCGTTAAAAGTATTTGCGCAAAATCATGCCAGTGTAGACGCAGCCTGCTACAACAACATTGCATGTTACTAGCTGAAAGTTTTTCAGTGGCCTGTTGCAAATGAGTTGACAGCTAAGTTGTGTGTTCCTTACCGGAGTTACTATTTTGGGTCTTAAATCATGATGATAATGCTATGAATAAGGTGAGTAGTTACTGTGAAGATTTTTTTCACTTCCGTGAAGTGTTAATTTCAGATCCTAAGGGTATGTCTGTACTTAAACTGCTACAGCATCACAGCTACAACAATGCAGCTGCATCATTGTAATTCTTCAGCGTAGACTAGGGATGTTAAAATGCATTTAAGTAACTGTGTAACTGCTGAAATAATATATAGAGGCAGCAGCGCAGGGGGGAGGACAGTTGGTTCCCTGTGCCTACCCCACCATGTAAACTTGTAATTGCTGAAAATTTCAGCAGTTACATGTTTATTTTAAAAAACGCATTTTATCATCCCTATACAATTCATTTATATATTAACAATTTATACATATCATATACAATTAAAAGTGTATCTAAGGTTAGGTAGCAAATGGTAAATACATTATGAATTCATGTATTATGAGAAGATTATGTATATTTCCTCTATATTTTAAAATAAAATATATATAATCAATTTATTCCACAAGATCAACTGAACTATGTTTTCAAAGAACAAAACCAACTTATTGAGGACACATCCTGTTTTTTGTTGTTGTTGGTTTTGGTTTTTTTTTTACTGCCACTGCCCATAGAGTGGATGTTCTCAGGGATGTATACATGACTCCATGATCTTTTTCTTGAGAGGTAACAGTTAATTTAGACCCCATCATTTTATATGTATAGTTGGGATTATGTTTTCCAATGTGCCTTACTTTGCATTTTCCAGTATTGAATTTCATCTGCCATTTTGTTGCCTGGATACCAAGTTTTGTGAGATTCTTTTGTAGCTCTTCACAGTCTGCTTGGGACTTAATTATCTTAAGTAGATTTGAATCATCTGCAAATGTTCCCACCTCAGTATTTACCCTCTTTTTCAGATCATTATGAAAGAAGTCCCCAATTTACAAACAGATTGTGTTCTGAAAATTTGTAAGTCTGCTGTTTGGACATGAAATGTATTTTCCCACAGAAACAATGGGGAAAAGGTAATAATTGCTGGTTAGGTTCCTAGACTAGCCCACAAAAGTCAATTTAATGGATAATGTAGCTGAAATACTGTATATTTGCAATGAAAAATATAAAATACTAGTCATTAAATAAAACAGAAAAACAATAAACTTGACTAAGAAATAGGTGTTTTTATTTATCATTTAATGCTGATGCTTGAAGAAAAACAGGTTTAATTAGAGGAAGATGAGGAGGTAGATTGAGGTTTTGAAGGGGACTTTCAGGCATCCCCGACTGCAGGCCTAAATTAACCTTTTGGGGGCCCTGTAGGCTCTGGGATGAGTTGTGAATGTGTGAGGGATCAGCATGCATGAGAGGTGTGTGGGTTGATGCAGGAGGGCTCTGGGGATAAGTCATTCGGAGTAGAGGAGGGAACTCCAGGCAGGGGCCCAGGGATTTGGAGTGTGGGAGGGGGCTCAGGGAAGGAGGTGGGGATGTCTGGTCAAGGCAGGAATCAGGGTGCGGGATGGGGCTTGGCAGGAAGCTGAGGTGGGGTTGTGGGGTCTTGGTGGGAATTAAAATGTGGAAGGAGATTCAGGGCTGGGCAAAGGTTACGGAGGTGAGACGCTTACCTGGGGCAGCTCCCCTTTGGTGACACAGGCCTGGATGGGAGAGGGTAGGTGGCTCTGTCTGCCAGGGCTGGTCCTAACCAATTGGCGGCCCCAGGCAACCGCCAAGTAAAAGTTGTCAAGCAAAAAGGGCCGAAATGTGGTCGCAGCCCCTTTAATTGCCGCATGTCACGAGCAGGCTTCTGTCGACCTCTGTCGGCAGCCCCTTGAAAATGGTGGCCCCAGTGGTCCACCTGGCTCACCGGCCCCTAAGACCGGCTCTGCTGCCTGCTGCCCTGCTCTCGCCTGCAAGCACCATCCCTACAGCTCCCAATGTTGCTGATTCAGTGAGTGGGAGCTGCAGGGGCTGAGTCTGAAGGTGAGGGAAGCGAGGGAGCTTCCCAGCACTTGCAGATCCAGCCCTGGGGGGAGGGAGACTGGCCTAACATGGAGCCATGTCCCCTCCCCACCAAGTAGGGCCAGAACACAGGGGCATTATTGGCTTTAGCCCAAGTCCTTGAGCTAAGGGGGGACCCCCCCCAAATCTGCACTTTTGGGGGACCAGTGATCTTTTTGTAGGAGCCTTCCTTAGCCCAGGGTACTGGACTGCTGCCTCCATTTATTCCTACCCTTTGTTTCCAATCTTTTAACAAATTATCAATTCATGAGAGAATTTTCCCTTTAGCTCATGGCAGCTTACTTTGCTTAAGAGCCTTAGGTGACCTTGTCAAAAGCTTTCTGAAAATCTAAGTACACTGTCCACAAGATCCCCCTTGTCCATATGCTTGTTGGGTCCCTCAAACAATTCTAGTAGATTGTAAAGGGAATTCATACCTCACCAAAGACCATGTTGATTCTTCCCCAACAAATTATGTTAATCTATGTGCCTGACAACTTTATTCTTTCATGTAGTTTCAACCAGATGCCTAGTACTGAAGTCAGGTTTACTATCCTGTAATTACTGGGATAACCCCAGAATCCTTTTTTAAAAACTGGCATCACATCCGCTATCCTCCAGTGATCTGGTACAGGAGCTGATTGAAAGGATAGGTTACAAACCACAGTGAGTAGTTCTGCAATTTCCATTTAAGTTCTTTCAGAACTCTTGGGTGAATACCATCTGGTCCTGGTTACTTATTACTGTTTAGTCTATCATTTTGTTTGAAAATCTTGTCTAATGACACCTCAATCTGGGATAGGTGTCACCTAAAAAAAAATACCTCAGGTTTAGGAATCTCCCTCACGTTCTCAGCTATGAAGACTCATGCAAAAAATTCAGTAAGTTTTTCGGTGAGGGCCTTATCATCTTTTAATGCTCCTGTACCATCTTGATTGGCCAGTTGACTAACTGGTTTTTTATCAATCTTCCTTCTTCTGATGTTTGTATGTATTTATTTATTTTGCTATTACTTTTAAAGTCTTTGACTAGCTGATCTTCAAATTCTTTTTTGGCTTTCCTAATTATGTTTTTACAGTTTATTTGCCAGAGTTTATGTTCCTTTTTGTTTTCCTTACTAGGATTTAACTGTTTGCCTTTTTGCTTTTCTCTGCTTCTTTTACTTTATTGTTTAGCCATGGTGGTACTTTTATTGATTCTCTTGCTGTGTTTTTAAATTTGGGGGTATACATTAAAGCTGAGCCTGTATTATGATGTCTTTAAACATTTTCCAATGCAATTTGCAGGTGTTTCACTTTTGGCAGTATCTCTTTTAATTTCTGTTTAACTAACTTCCTCATTTTTGTGTAATCCCCCTTCTGAAAATTAATACTACAGCTTTGGGTCGCTGTGGTGTTTTTACACCACATGGATGTTAAATGCAATTATATCGTGGTCACTATTATCAAGCAGTCCAGCTATATTCACCTTTTGGTCCAGATTCTGTGCTCCACTAAGAACTAAATCAGAACCTCCTCTTCTCTTGTGGATTCCAGGATTAGCTGCCTAAGAAGCAGTCATTTAAAGTGTCTAGAAACTTTATCTTTGCATCCCATCCTGACATGCAACCAGTCAATGTAGGGATAGTTGAAATCCCCAATTATTGTTGTTGTTTAATTTTTATAGCCTTTCTAATCTCCCTGGGCATTTCACAGTCACGATCACCATTCTGATTGGATGGTGGGTAACATATTCTTATTATTGAAGCATAGAATTACTATCCATAGAGATTCTATGATACAGTTTGGCTCATTTAGGATTTTTCCTCATTTGAATCTATGCTTTCTTTCACAAATAGTCTCACTCCCTTCCAACAGGACCTACTCTGTCCTTCAGATATGTTTTGTACCCTTGTATTATTGTGTCCCGTTGATTATTTTCACTCTACCAAGTTTCTGTGATGCTTATTACATCAACATCCTCATTTAATATGAGGCACACTAATTCATCAGTCTTATTATTTAGACGTCTAGCATTTTTATATAAGCCCTTTAAAAACTTGTCCCTTTTTGCTGTCTGCCATTACCTTATATAATTGAATAAGATTCTCAAATTTCATTTAGCTGTTTTTCATCAGACTCTACCTGTATTTTATCATCTTCCATGCTCTCCTCCTTAATATATAGAATCTCTCTTAACAGATCCTCCCCTAAGGATGATTATTTAATTTGTTCTTTTTTTCTAACTCAACCTCTATAATTTGCCTCTTTTAAATGTAGTTCATCTTTATACAGAGCATTTCTTCTGATCAACTAGCTTTATGCATATGTCGTTGTTTTAACTGTTTTATTTATATTTATTTTATTATATTTTTGTCTAACTAGGTAATTCTTAGTACGTCCCTTCCACCTATGAGTTTCAAAATTAAGTTCAAGTTTTTGTGGTCGCCAGTACTGTAAATATATTTGTTCTGCTCAAACAGGAAAAGCATTCTGACTTTTTAAAAATGAGCAATCATATGTATAATCAACTTGGTTAAAACTTCCTTCCTGGTAAGTGCAGCACTTCCTTTGCATCTGGATATGAAGGCGAACACAAAAAGCAGAACAGCGTATTAAACAGCTTTCTTGTGAATGATCCTCATTTTTAAAAAATACTTTAAAATTAAACAAATGAGTCTTATTCAGCGACTCATCCTGGGCTTTGTAATCAGGTAATGTTTCATTTTGTTTCAGTAATTATAAACATAATGCCCATAGTTACTTGCTTTCCAAAATGTTAAAAACAACTTAGAGTCACCTTGTGTTCTGTTGTTTCAGTTTAGTTTTGTATTTGCTTACCTTTTTTCTAATATTTTCAAGGTAACCATCAAGTTACAGGGATTTTGGGTAAGCAAACAGAGGGAGGCTTTATGTGTATTAGATTATTTTTCTGAAAAAAAAAAGTTAAAATTAAGCAATTTAACAATTTATGAAAGAGAGATTGAAGGGAAACAAATTTAAGTACATCCAGTCAACTTTGCTTTTCTCAGCTGAATACTTTGTAAATAAGTTCCATTTTGATATGGTAGAACAAAGACTAATTGAGAGCAATAATCTTTTTGCTTTCTTAAAATCAGTAAGATTGGCTTAAAATTTCTTCCAAATTTCATATCAGTTTTGATTGGTTTAGATATTTTCACCTGCTATACAGTATACTATAGCGTCAATGGCTTGTGAGCATTTTATTTTGTAACCAACTGTAAGATATTGATATAGATATAGACATGCTCATTTTAAAATCAGTGATGTTACCAGTTTTGCGATGCTTGGGATTAAAGGAACATTTTCAAAGTTATTGGGCTAAAATTTCTATGTACTTTATATATGGGATTTTTAAAATAAAAATATACTAATACTTCATCTCACGGGGGGGGGGGAATAATAAACAGTTTCACTTTCTGTGTGGTTCACAGAGAAACAATATGTGTTTTCTCTGCTAAAATTAACATTTTTTCTCTGGATCTTATTGTGACATCATTCTATGATACTGGCTCATCAACAGCAAATGTCTTTTAAATGTTAAAATCCATTTGAGTTAACTACAGTATCATCCAAAATACAGGAGGGGGAAAAGTTCAATGTTTGCCAAATTCAAAAGAGAAAATCAGTTTCAGCAAAAAACGTGACACTTCTAGCATTCAGTTTCTACTAAAATCTGGGAGTTTAGGCCCCTAAGGCCCTTGCAAGATCAGGTTCATAATTCATAAAGTGTGTTTGGGTGGATAGTATTCAATAAATGCATAATTTGAATTAGTTATTGCTGTACCTAGAGTTTGGTTTAAAAACGAATACATTGATTCAAATAAGATAATTTTATAACTTTATATTTAGAAACTTTGGGAATATCTATAGAATGTTTGAGAGTCTGTCTGTCTGTTCAACCCCCCCCCTCCCACCACCACCAAATTCAGTATACAGCTTCCTTTTATCATAACTTAAAGCAAACTAAGGGTTCGGTTGTGCCAGGAAAATGGGATATGCCTGGAATGTCCTTGCTTCTTCAGGAAACCACAAAGAAAAGAGACAGACTCACCAGGCAGATGAAAGGGGCTGGCTGGGGTCGGACCCCTCCCCATCCGGGACTTCCCAGCCCTGAGCCTCCCACCCCTAGGTGCCCTTACATCCTCTTGTCTCCCCTATCCTGATTTATATGGGAGCATTGCTGGCTATTCCCTTTCATCAAGGATTGAGGGGAAAGTGCACCGTTTGCTACATTATTCATTCTGGCTGGGTAGCACAGGGGGCAGAAAAACCTGGATGTGCCCCAGCCTGGGGACATGCACCCCTCCTTCAACTGGGTCCGTTGGAGCTGTGGTGGCCATGAAGAGGCTCTTCTCATTTAGCTCCATGCTGCTGTGGTGAGACAGGTCTGAGGTAGTCCTCCCTCCCTGGGGCAGACTGCATACTGAACCCCACATCACCAACCCCACCACAGAGCAATGATTTAAATGGAGCATGTACATTTTCATTTTATTTTCCAAAAAACAAAAATTAATTGTGTTAAGGCCCATCTATACAGCAGGTTTAAAGCCAAAATAAGCTACGCAACTTGAGCTCTGACAATTGCATAACTTAAGTCGAAATAGCTTAATTTGGCTTTTGGTGCTGAGTACACAACAGGAAGTCCAGGAAAGCGCACTCTTCCTCTGACTTCCCTTACTCCTTGTAAAATGAGAGTTACAGGAGACAGAGTAAGAAGTCCTCCAGCTCAACATTATTTCAACATTATGTTGAAATAACTGCTTGCAGTGTAGACGCGGACTATGTTGTTTTGGAGTAACAGCAGTGATTCTGAAATAACGCTGCTGTGTAGACATAACCTTAAGGACTAGAGCAATGCTGGGTCGAATTCAAGTATATTATATATGTAAGTTTTATTATTAAAACCTGTCATTAAACTTGGCAAAAGAGCTAATGAATCTTTAGAAGTACACTCACAAAAATTAAATGAGAAAGTGATCAAACATTTGTATGTTTTACTAGATCTCTTCTGGTATGGAGTTGGGGAATTATGAACAGCGGGTTGTAATGAGAGAGGAAAACAAACGAAGGAGAAGAAGAATGAAGCCTTTCAGTGCAGCAAGTAATTTGTCTTCAATGGAGCTGATAGCCATTGAATTCATTCTGCCTACAAGCAATAAACATACTAAAGTGCCGGAAACAATGATACTCGAAATAGCTGGCAACTGTACTGTTGAGCAAATGAAAGCACAGATTTGGATGCGTGCAATAGAGACAAGCCAAACCACAGATTTTTACCATAAATTCACTCCAGATCAATGTATTCTTCAATATCAAAAGAAAGGACAGTGGTATGAAATTTATGACAAACATCAGGTAATACAGACTTTGGACTGCATACTGTACTGGAAAGTGTTACAGAAAAAAGTAGGCAAAATCTATGTTATCCAGAAGCAAAACCCAACAGAGGTAGTTCAGGAATTTCAGTCACAGCTTAATGATTTAATTGGCTATGATGTCACTGATGTTAGTAATGTGCATGATGATGAGCTAGAATTTACTCGTCGCAGATTAGTCACACCACGAATGATTGAAGTAGCCTGCAGAGATCCAAAATTGTATTCAATGCATCCATGGATTACGTCCAAACCACTCCCAGAATATGTATTTAAAAAGATTACTAATAACAATATTTTTATAATCATACATAGAGGAACAACTAGCCAGAAAATTAAAGTATCAATTGATGACACTCCAGATATGATCCTTCAGAGCTTTTTCACCAAAATGGCAAAGAAGAAATCTTTGATGGATATTCCTGAGGATCACAGTGAACTGGATTTTGTTCTCCGGGTTTGTGGCAGAGATGAGTATATCACAGGAGAGACGCCAGTCAAAGATTTTCACTGGATAAGGCAGTGCCTGAAGAATGGGGAAGAGATCCACCTAGTATTAGATGATCCTCCTGACCCAAAAGAGGATGAGGTTCAGAAAGAAGAATGGCCTTTGGTGGATGACTGCACAGGTGTCACAGGATATCATGAACAGCTGACAATAGATGGAAAAGATCACGAGAGGGTGTTCACTATCTCTTTGTGGGACTGTAACAGAAAATTCAGGGTCAAGATAGTTGGCATTGATATCCCGGTACTACCAAGAAATACTGAACTTACTGTGTTTGTTGAGGCTAATATTCAACATGGCCAACAGCTTCTTTCACAGAGAAGAACCACATCTAAGCCTTTTACTGAGGAGGTTCTATGGAATACTTGGGTTGAATTTGATATTAAAATTAAAGATTTGCCTAAAGGAGCACTACTCAATCTACAGATATATTGTGGCAAAGCACAGGCATTATCTACAAAGGCTACCATCCAGTCGCATGATTCCCCCAACTCTGAATCTAAATGCAAAACCCAGCTACTCTATTATGTAAATATTTTGTTGATTGATCATCGTTCTTTGCTACGGAGTGGGGAGTATGTGCTTCATATGTGGAAGATTTCAGGGAAGGGGGAAGAGCAGGGAAGCATCAATGCTGACAAACTTACATCAGCAACCAATCCTGATAAAGAAAACTCAATGGCTATCTCCATTGTTCTGGATAAATATTGCCACCCAATAGCTTTGCCCAAACATAGAATAACATCTGACCCCCAAGGGGATAGGACAAGAGCTGAAATGCCCAATCAGCTTCGCAAACAGCTTGAGGCAATCATAGACACTGACCCACTTAATCCACTTACACCTGAGGATAAAGAATTACTGTGGCATTTTAGATATGAAAGCATAAAGCACCCCAAGGCGTATCCTAAGCTGCTTAGCTCAGTGAAGTGGGGACAGCAAGAAATAGTGTCCAAAACATACCAGTTGTTAGCTAAAAGAGAAGCTTGGGATCATAGCACTTTGGATGTTGGACTAACAATGCAACTTTTGGACTGTAACTTTTCGGATGAAAATGTAAGAGCAATGGCAGTTCAAAAGTTGGAGAGCTTAGAAGATGATGATGTTCTGCATTACCTTTTGCAACTAGTGCAGGTAAGATAAATTTGCATTCATGAACATTCATTTCCTTGAATATTTGCATGATCATAGTAGGGATGTAAGTGACTAGTCGACTACCGGATAAACAAATGCTTATCAGGTAGTTGAGTAGTGACTCGACTAGTCACTCCCCTTTCCCTTCACTTCCTTCCCCCCCTCCCCAGCTGCCTCTATCAGAGAGAGGCAGCAAGGGGGTGGAGCAGGAGCTAGTGCTGGGGGGAAGCTGGCTTAAAAGCCAGTTCCTCCCAGGACCATCTTCACAGAGGAGGCAGAGGCGTAGCCGGGGACCAGTTGTGAGCCAGGAATCAGCTGATTCCCACCTTGCCCAGACACTGTGCCTCTGCTTTTTAAATGTATTAAGAGCCACCAGACTCTTAATACATTTAAAAAGCAGAGGCGGCGAGGGGAGGAAGAGGGACCGAACTTGAGCCGGGAATCAGCTGTCCTGGCTCATGCCCAGTTCTAGATGCTACCCCCTTTGCTTTTTAAATGTAGTAAGAGCTGCCATTTAAAAAGGAGAGGCGCAGCGTCTGGGACCAGGTGTGAGCCAAGATAGTTGATTTCCAGCTCACAGTTGGTCCCCCCGCTACATCTCTGCCTTTTAAACTATTAAGAGCCTAGCAGCTCTTAACACATTTAAAAGGCAGAGTCACCGTGAGGTTAGCGTGATTTCCAGCTCACAGTTGGTCCCCCCGCTACATCTCTGCCTTTTAAACTATTAAGAGCCTAGCAGCTCTTAACACATTTAAAAGGCAGAGTCACCGTGAGGTTAGCGTCAGGGGCCAGGAGCTAACCCCGCTGTGGCTTTGCAGTTTCCCCCCTTATCAACTAATCAAGAAGTCGATGGAAATTCTGATTAAATGCAATTTAACAACCCTAGATCATAGAAATGTTCCAAAGTTATGAATGACCTACTGTTTGAAGTCTTCATTATGAATCAAACCAGTGCTAGTAAAAAGAATTAAATAACATTCTTAATACATATACCTTTGTTACCATTCATGCCTTTACTAACAGTCTTCTTCAGATTTCCCACAGTCACCTTACCACTAGGTGAGTTCTAATGATGAAAGCCAGTGTTCCCTCTAAGATTTCCATCCATGAACGGAGTGAGTTTTGTCTTGTACACCAATATTGATGTCATGTGTGCTACTGTGGCACCCACCAGTTACTAACATATATATATATATATATAATAGCTATGGAAGAAAGCCCCACTTACTCTGCAGATTAGCTCCTGCCTCATTTTCTGCCCTGTTACACAGCTAGGCCCCCCCATCTCCTCTCCCAACCCCCACTGCTCCTTCCTTCCTTCAGCTGCCTCAACCCCCCCCCTCCCCCCCCCCGTGAACACTGAGCAGTCCCCACCAGGCTCTCATGCGAGTAGCAAGAGGAGAACAGCAGCAGCTCTGGCTCCCTTTGATTCCATGCCAGCCACTTTCCGCCTGCAACCAGGTCCCAGGGAGCTAGGTCAGACTTTGGGCTGGACCCTAGGAACAAGCATCTCAGCAGCACTGGGCCCCTTGTCTCTTCTCAGGTGGTGGGTGCTAGAGCCCAGGGAGAATCCCTGCCCAGTCTAATGCAATGGGCTGTGGGAAAGCTGCCTCTCAGCCCCTCCTGGTGACTCTCACTCCAGCCTGAGTGGCTGCCTGGAGCCAAAGGGCCTGGGGATTTGGGGAAGGAAGGTTGTACTACACCATTGGCTGCAGCATGGGACAGCTCTTTGGTTTTCCACATGGTGGGGGAAGTGACAGCCAATAGTGGGGGTGCCTCCCGGGGAAGATGTGCGAGACCATGGGCCCTACGCTGGAATATTGACCCCACTGATATGGACAAGTGGGTTTGAACATCCTGCCTCACCCACAGCCTCCTCCAGACAGTGCAGAATGGCTGCATTCCCCCCAACCGTCTGCTGTTGGGTCTTTCTGGCCAGAGGCCAGGCCAATAAACCACCCTGAGCCAGGCAAAAACAACCAAACATCCCAGTGGCAGCAGCTGCTCGACAGCCCCAATCCCCAGCAGCCACCCACTAGCCCCATGGCCCCAATCTCTGGCGGCAGCAGCTGTTCACCAGCCCCATGGCCCCAATCCCCAGTAGCTGCAGCTGCTCTCCAGGCCCAAGGCCCTAATCTCGGGTGGCAGCAGCCTCCTCCCAGCCCAAGGCCCCAGTCCCTAGCACATGGCCTCAGCCCTGGTGGCAGCCGCCTCCCAACATGGCTTCAGCCCCAGCAGCAGCCAGAGCAGCTGCCTCACAACACGGCCCTAGCCACCGTGCACCCCCAGCAATGGGAGCAACCACGCCACTCACCTTCCATGTCCAGCAGGAAGATGAGTGCTGCTGCGCTGCGCTGCAAAGGCGGTGAGTGGCCTCAGAATTTTTTGTGCGCAGGCGCACACCTCAGAGGGAGCACCGATGAAAGCACCTCTTAGCCACTGGGTTTTGTATTGCTGCTCAAAGCAGGTCTAGATCAGTGTTTCTCAACCAGTGATACAAGTACCCTTAGGGGTACTTGAGAGAAGTCTGGGGGATATGTCAACTCAACTGAAACTAAGAGAAAACTGAATTTTTGTTTTAAGTGTTATAGCGTTTTATTATTTGTGTACTTTTTGCACCCAAAAATGTCATTGTCCGCCTGGCTACAATTAAGTTGTTTAAACAAATTCTTGCAATAGTAGAAAAAATGTTTGTGTCTGAAAACTGTAGGTAGTGGAGGTACTTAAATTTTTTTTTTTTTTTTTTTTTTGAGACAGGGGTACTTTATATAAAAAAGGTTGAGAAACACTGGTGTAGATCACAGATAGTTAAAGCACAAGTGTAATTGCATCAGAGTCTGTGTTCCCTAAAGGGGCTTTTATTAACAGGAAGAATGCAGAGAGTTTGGGTGGAAGCAAGACAGCTATCTGGTCAGAGCAATTCTCAGGATTTAATGAAGATACATGTCTTCAACTTTAACCTGCATTCAGCTTCACACTTTGTGACTGAAACACCAGTACAAGTGCCCTTGCTATGGTTTCCAGTGTTGGAACAATTCAATTTTTAAAGAAAAATGCTAGTTTAGATAAGGTCTGACTCAAAAGTTTTGAGTTGTGTTTAGAGTCTGCTTGCAGAGTTGTGTGAAGAATCTTTCATACTTCTTTGCATTCATTTTATCTGTCAATACTATCAGTCATTTACTGTCACAAATACTAAATTTCTCCCTAAAATGTAAAAGAGTATAAAACAGTAAAATAAAAATACATAAATAAAAGACATGACAAGGAACCATGGTACTGACTTCATAGGTAGGATTTCTTCATTCATAGAAGAGTCAAAATCAAGGTTTTAATGGAATGTGAATTATAATCCAGTTTGCTTGAAATATCTCACATGTGGTCTGCTGGTAGCCGGCACTTTGGTTGTTGCTGAAAGCTTGAGCTCATTTATATGACACAGCATTTTAGAGGATCGGAATTTGAAAAGGGAGGTTTCACAATAGTTTGTTTTGGGGTGGGAACACTGTATCATAACTTCCAGACTGGAGGGCAGATTTTAGGAAGGAATAAACAACTGAGGCATTTTTAGTTTCTTTTCAAAACAAAAGTAAAAATGCTAGGATGAAACTTTATATAGTGTAAATGTATATCCAGCAATTCTGGTCCTAGTCTATTCTGTACCTTTCCATACCAGGTAGCTCTCTCTCTTTCTTTCTTTGTAAAGGTTATACATTCCACAGCAGCAGAGACAACTAGACACCAAGGAATCTTTGAACAAGTTCTTCAGTAACAAAGGGGTCAGTGGGCCTTGTAAGATGCACAGGTTCAGACTGGTAGTTGCTGATGCCTAAGACAGTGAAGTTGGAGCTTTCAAATTTGCAGGAGTGGTGCTTCTGACAAAGCCTGTGTGTACTTGCCAGCATCATCTTTACTTGTCTGGAGGTTGGGCTCCCCAGACTGGATGTATGTAATTCAAGATTTGAAAATGTTAAGGCCAAAAGTTAACACTCTGTGCAGTCTGACCTCCAATGTAACTGCTACTTTGTCTACTCTCCCTTAAGATAGTTGATCTTAGAGACAAATCAATTATTTGTTTATTTTAACATGTTTTTGCACCCAAGTTAGGGGCTCAGTTAATATGCAGGCTGGAAGACACACAAGTGCGTGCAATACAAATGCTATGATTTTTTGTCTTTGTTTTTCTAAAAGAATTTTAGGAAGAAATAAACAACTGTAGCATTTTTAGTTCCTTTTCAAAACAAAATAAAAAAGCTGGTATAAAACTTTTAATAAATTATAGAATACACAATAGTTTAATGTAAAACAATATTAGAAAGATGGGCGCTTTTTTTAAGAACGATGACGGTTTGAGAATGAAGAAATCAGGATATTGTAGTTCAAAAAACCTCAAATTTTAAAGTCTATGGAAATACTTGATTCCAACCTTAACTCTGTTCCTGTTCCCCTGACAAACTTCTCTCATCTAACTTTTCAAGTACAGTCCCTCATTATAGTAGAGCAAAGTTTATATGCTAGCTTAGGACCTGGAAGGTTTTGCTGGAAAGTGAAGACTGGAGCTTCTTCTAGTTCACATGTGGGCAGTAAGCCGGACATGGTTCCCTGGGGTTAACCCTTGGCAGGCTGCTGGCACTGTATTTACCCGCACCTCTAAAGATACAGCCCCTCAAAGCTCCCATTCACCATGGATCACCATTCCTGGCTACTGGGAGTTTCAGGAAGTGGGGTGGACTGGGAACAGCAATTTGCAGTGAATGGGAACTTCAAGTGGCCGTACCTGTGGAGATGCAGGTAAATAACGCACTGGCAGCTTGCCAGAGACTATAACCATGGTGAACCGCATCCAGCCTGTGGATACCCTGACAGAACAGTTAAGAGGCCACCTCATCTTATATACAGTGTTACCTTTCGCATATGATTCATAAAAGCCTTTTGAACTGCTCCCCACCATGATCAAGAAATTCCAATTCTACCTTATTCACACTCACCTTAGCAGTCAGAAACCAAATTATGTTTTTTTCAAATTCACCTGAACAAAAGTTCCATGCTCTAAAGTCTATACAGCCTTGTAAGAAAGGTCTCAAATTCTCCTTGCGCTTGATATAAAATGACAGGAGGGGTGAAGATTATATTATTACACAACAAAATGCTATCCTTTTGTACATCAAATACCAGTGAGGAAGACTGATTTTCTTTTATATGGAAATTAATGGGGTTCTTCCACCAGTAACAGGATCAATGGGGAAAAGGTATGTGTTGGAACTTAAATGTTTCCAGACTTTCTGAGATTTAGGTTCTTTGAATTACCAAATTCTAGTTTCTTGGCATGCAAACATTTTCTTTTAGACACAACAGAAAACATTTTATCTGAAGGATTTTGTCTAACATTGTAACTTAATTTAAAGTATGGTTGCATGTTAAGTTCTGTTCATTTTTTTTTGTTTAATATTGTAGCAATATGTAATTATTCAGCTATGGTTTACTGTCAACAATGCTATTTTAAATGCTATTCAGAGATACCTTGCAACCAAAATGAACCCTTTCCTTTTCAAATAAAAAAAATCAGTTTGGCTGGTGTTTGGTACAGATCACATAGTTTAATAATTTGTCTTGATAGTTTACAATATTTTGAAAAAAGAAAATTATCCGTATATTTGAGAAATAGTTTTTGCCTGTGGTTAGTAACTTTTTCATTGAATATGGTGCTCTCAAACTTTAAAAATATAATAATCACACAATTCTGTGGAATCCTGCCATTTTAATCAGCTGTCGGAAAAAGTGAGTCTCTGGGTCTGTTTTTCAAATCTCTAGAAGCTTCACTTATCACTGGAACAAGACTAGGTGAGCTAACAAAAATGATTTTAAATTTCGAAGTGGGAGCATGCCAGGTATTATCCAGCATAGCAGCTGCATGTCTGCTGCTCCCGTGCAACCTTGTGATTAGACCCATTATCTTGGCAAACTTTCCTGATGATGGTGCTGTGCAACTTCTAATCAGAGAGCAGACTGCTATAGTCTTGAGCTGTTATAGTCGAACTCTGAGCTACTCAACTTTGGAAGCCCCAGGGGCCACAATGATACTCACAGTACATGCCAAGGGTCACAACCTAAGTGTGGTTGCATATACATGCAAATATATATGCAAATAGCTTATTTCACACTGACAGGCAGGAATACAAAACACTTCCCACAATGCCCCGGCGCTCCTGGCACCTCCTCCGTAGGGGCCAGAAATGCCAACACCCTGTAGCCATCTGTTTCAGCCAGCCTGTCTGCTTGCATCATTCAGTGCTCACCCCCTGCCCTCCCCTTCCGGGGAGGCGCCTCACTGTTGTGGAGCATGTTCCCAGTGGAGATCATGTTCAAAGGATCTCACCTACAGGTCATGTGTTGAGCCCCGCGTAAACCCAAACTGCACCACAGACTACAAACATACAGGCCAACAGGACTCATGTTGAGTAGCCCTGGTCTAAATATTGAGACAGACATGCTTTATTGCTTCTGTAGATCAAGTAAATCCCTCTGTTCTCCCCACATGCTCCCTGCGTGTCACTTTCCCATACCCCTCTATTTCACTTTCCCATATCCCTGCAATCCCCATCCTACCTCACTCATTCCCCCATATCAGGTTCCTCCATTCTTTTCCATTCAAGGTCTTTGTATGTCCTCCCTTTAATTTCCATATCAGGATCTCTGTGTGCTCGCTGGTTCTCCCCACAGGGGCTTTTTGTGCCATCCCCATCACCAGTAGTTTTACTTTCCTTTCTGTCTAGGAGATGGGTCATTATAAAGACTATAAAGTTAAGTGCAAGACTTTTCTTTGCATTGCTCAAAGGTGTGCTAGCCACTTTACAGGCAATAACTCAGTGACCCCTTTCAACTCAGCCTTCAGGGGAATAATTAAATTCAAGACCCAGTTCTCTTTTTGTCAGTAGAAACTGAAAGTTGGCATCACTATTCCCTCTAATCTGTTCCATCCATGTGCTGAATAATTGTTTTATGTGCACCGAGGCATATGCGAATATGCACCATCCATAGAAATAAAAAGTCTGCCTAGGGTGGGTACTAGGCTCATCAGGAGGCCAGCATTTGACTCTCTCTTGAGTGAGCACACAACTTACAGGGAACACTGCATAGTTTCTGGCTCACCAACTGCTGTTGAAATACACTCAGGTTCTGGGGGAAGGGAAAAGGGATGCCCATGTTCAGAAATGCTTTAAAAACTTGATTTGAGAAAAATTTAGTTAACAATAAATATGTATTAAAAATAGTTCAAAATAGATGTACAGAGTCTTTCCTTACAGTTTTTCATATCTTTCTATTAGGAACTGATTTTCCCAGTGAAAAGGATATATTGCATAACTCCACCTTCTTCCCGAGTGAAATGTAGCGCCGGTTGAACCTCTCTCATCTGGGACTCTGTGGTCTGGCAATATCCATGATCCGGCAGGACTACAGATGTTGCTAGACCAGAGAGCTCTGTTCACAGAGGTTGAGAGCAGCAAGAAGCAGAGCTGGTATGGTCAGTGGCAGCCCACAGGATCAATGACCTGGGGGTAGAGAGCTCTGGGAGACACTGCCATCCTGTGGGGCTCCAGGGGCAGGGAGCCCCAAGAGTGGCTGCTGCCTTGTGCGGGGCCAAGAGGCGGGGGGCAGGGATCCCTGGGAGCAGCTGCCATCCCACGCGGGGCTGAGGAACCCTTGGAGCAGCTGCTGCCTTGCGCAGGGCTGCGGAACCCTGGGAGCAGCTGCCGCCCCATGCGGGGTCGGGAAACCCCCGCAGCAGAGCCCCATGAGAGGGCTAGAGGCAGCAAAACCAGGCAAGTGGGCTGCAGGAGGTCAGGCCTCCGGGTTCTCCTGGGGTAGCAGCCAGGAGGGGAGCCCCAGGAGAGCACAGTTGCCTGACTTCCCCTGGTCTGGCAAATTCCGTTGTTCGGGACCACTCAGATCTCAAGGGTGCCAGACCAGGGAGGTTCAACCTGTATTAATGAGTCTCACACTCTTAAAGGCAATAAGCCATTACTGGGAGTGTTAGAGGAGATTATTGCATATTGGTGTATTGTCTGGGTGGTAGAAAGCATGAGGTATATATTTGAGGCATATACTAGTAACCTATTATTGCTCATCTTGTTGTGGTTATTGCTGTTGGTATCAGTGAATCAGATTGCTTATTGCCTGAACCTTAGATATTAATGATTAGTTTGTTTGAAATTTGAGTTTTGGCAATTAGTAATTAGTTTTTTTAAAATACATTAAAATACAGTATGATGATGAATAAACTGCTCTATGATTGGCTGAAACAGATTGCTCCATTGTCTGAGCGAATCAAAACACAGCATTTGGGGGTCTACACAGCTATTGGGAGGTGTGATTACAGCACATGTGGGCATAGCTGAGCTAACTTTGATCTAGCTAGCTTGCTTGCTAAAAAGAACAGTAAAGCCACAGCAGTATGAGCGGTGACTCGGGCTACTCACAAGAATACAAGCCCACCCAGAACTCTGGGTATGCACTCAAGCAGTTGGTCCATGTTGCTGCAAGTTTGCTATTTTTAGTGAGCAATCTAGAACAGCTAGTTCAAGTATGCCCCATATGCTGCAATCACATCTCCTGATTGCAACAAAGGGATGTTTTGTGTTATCTGTTTTGGGGACTCCTCATCTTAATGTCTTAGTGCTGTCACTGTACTTCTCCACTAGTCATGAGTGTTAACTTAGCCTGGATGTCTACTTCTCCAGGTGTGTCATGTGGTTCGATTTATTTTAGATCCAAGGGAAACCAGGACACTCCAGGGAAATTTAACCACTTTCTTATTTATTGCAAGCTTTAAGCAGTTAGTACAGTTGTTTACGTTTTACAAGCCTTAAAAACAACTACTATACAATTAAACCTTAAATATTATAAATTCTGAAGCAATAAATACAGCGCAAAGCAATGCAAAAGCAATTAATAGAAGAGCTAGTATAATACAATAATAAAGCCTTGTTCACTTACACTTCACGCATATGCTACCTATAGTACCAAGCAAAAGGTCATGGTTCCTTTGATTCCCATGCGTCGGAACGCCATGCACTGGGTCGCAGGTGTGAAGAGCCTATTTACTTCTACATCGAGCAGGACCTGTGGGTCAGTCGTACCCATTCCCTCTCATTGATTGTTTTTATTAAGCCCATTTTATAGTAAAGCGAGACTTGGTTGTTCTAATAAGATTTACCAATTGATTACTTACTGTATAAGATGCCCAATGCCCCTATTTGGGGTATATCCTTCTACCTAGGATGTTTCCTAAAACGATATGCATAGTTGATAGTTGTATGACTGCATCTGCCATTTTTGCTTGTCAGAAACAGAAGTACCAGTACAAGGTTGCTTGTCATGTGTTCTTGAGGTGGTCTATCTGTACCATGCTTAATCTGCATTGTTATGCAAAACATTCCTGCCTCTCAAACCGTGCCTGCGTGCGTATGTGCACCAGTCTTGAGACAGGCCTGGGTTTTGATTTTTAGAGATCTACACTGTGATCAAGGAAGACATTACCATTTATTGTCAAGGCAGGGCTGTCCAGGCTCCCCCACAAGGTGTCTTTTGTTTGTTAATCATCTGTCACAATAATAATGTCTCTAAAAAGTAGCGAGCACAGCATCCTAGAATGCAGGGATCACAGCACTTTTTACGTTGAAGACCTGTTCTTTGCCATATCATTTTTCCTCTGCCAGAGCTCTATTCTGTTGATGTCATCTGTAAATTGTACTTATAAGAAGGTGAAACAAGGATTATAAATATTGAAAATAAAATGTATATATTTTTTGTTTTTATATGCATTTTTAGGCTGTGAAGTTTGAACCCTATCATGACAGCGCACTGGCCAGATTTCTACTAAAACGTGGTTTGAGAGTAAGTACTTCAGCATTAAAGTAACATTGAAGTTACAGGCATTGTTAGAATGCACTGTTTCTCAAGAGAATGGCATGTATATTAATTCTAGCCTTTTCTCTGCCTTTAGAACAAAAGAATCGGTCACTTTTTATTTTGGTTTTTAAGAAGTGAGATTGCTCAGTCCATGCACTACCAGCAGCGGTTTGCTGTGATCCTAGAAGCCTATCTTAGGGGCTGTGGAAAAGCCATGCTACATGATTTCATGAAACAGGTTCAGATAATTAAGTTGCTGCATAAAGTCACAATGGATATAAAATCAGTTTCTGCTGAAAAGTACGATGTCACCGCTCAAGGTATTTATTCATAGGTATTGCTTCCTTTGTTATGTAATGTATGTGTCTTTTTGCTCCGTGTGTAGTAAAACTAAAGCTGCAAACAGTACTGTTTTTCTGTAATATCCATGAGAGTAAATTACTTTGCTACTGAGCATCACAATTAATTGTTCTAAATAGCTACATAAGTTGTGGATGTCAATAAGCAAATAAAATATTCAGCTTGCAGCAGCATTTCAAAGGATCAGCGCCGTGCGGAGCCCGGGATTAGCGGTGCAGCACCATCGCTGCATTTCAAAGGGGCAGCGCAGCACAGAGCCCAGGATCAGCTGTGTGGGCTGCTCCTTTGAAACACTGCCGTTTCAAAGGGGCAGTGCTGCCTAATTGACTACCATATCAAAAATGCATCAATTACCCGACACTTAACGATAGAAATGTAGCCGTGTTAGTCTGGGGTAGTTGAAGCAAAATGCAGGACAATGTAGCACTTTAAAGACTAACAAGATGGTTTATTAGATGATGAGCTTTCGTGGGCCAGACCCACTTCCTCAGATCAAATAGTGGAAGAAAGTAGTCACAACCATATATACCAAAGGATACAATTAATTTAAAGTGCTACATTGTCCTGCATTTTGCTCCGACACTTAACATCCTTAAATAGGACCTGAAAAGAGTACATGGGTGATTGAGTGTGACCGCTCTGCATCTTTCAGATGTACTCACATGACTGACTGTTCCACTAATGATTTATCTAACTTGTTTTTGAAAATGTGATATGTTGCTGTAACCACTACATTTGAAAGCATGTCAGTGCCTAGTTGTGCTTTTTTGTTTAAGAAATATTTCCTGTTACTCACAATTTTTTCTTCCTTTAACTTCAGCCTGTTGCTCCTTTTCCCCACCATCTTCATTGACCTCCTTTATTTATGTTGTCAGTTTGATTGTGTTGGATCATGTCTTCTCTTTTTCTGGTCTTATCAGTCTTTTAATCATATCCCATAATTTTTGTATCTCTTCCTCCCCCACCCCCTTTTCTCAGTACTTTTGTTTAGTCTTTTTTATTTTCCCTCATTTAGGTTCATAGTATTCCAGGTGCAATATCATCATGGTTACATATGCAAATATTTCCCTCTTTTTTTAATGTCAGAACCCTATTATTTACATCCACATTTTTTTCCTACAAGGGAAACGTACTTGAATCTTATACTTGCTTTGCTATATGCTAAGGCTATGTCTAGACTGCTGCTTTTTTCAGCAAAAGGTACGCGAGTTGCTTTCCGCAATTTACATGCCTTTTTCCGATAGTTTTGTCAGAAGATGCTTTTCTGAATTTGGCCCTTCCACACTGCGCCAAATTTTGGAAAAACCTCCTCTTTCAGAAGAGCCCTTCATTCTTGTGGGAGAAGGAAGACAGGGCTTCCGAAAGAGTGCGTTTGCCCTTCGCAAAAAATGTCAGAAGAGCAGACACTGGACACGGTGAAGTTTTTCGGGGATATCCCAGAAAAACTCCATAGTCTAGACATAGCCTAACTCTTCAAAATAAATATCTATGTAATTGTTTCCTCTCTTTGGCTATTTCTACATTATTTCAAAATAACTAGCTTTATTTTGAAATAACTTAGTCCGCGTCTACACAGCTGTCAGTTATTTAGACATAATGTCAAAATACTGTCAAGCTGGAGGACTTCTTACTCCATCCTGTAACCCTCATTTTATGAGGAGTAAGGGAATTTGGAGGAAGTGTGCTCTATTTCGAAATAAGTGCTGTGTAGACAGCACCAAAACTCAAAATAAGTTATCTCGAAATAAGCTATGCAATTGATATAGTTCAATTTGTGTAACTTATTTTGAGTTAAATGCTGCTATGTAGACACAACCTTTAAGTTCCAGTTCTGAGTTCTTGAACTAGATCCGCCAGGAAGTCCTATTATTTATAAATACTTCTGTTCCTTTTTAAAAAAAAATCAACTAGCTCAAAATCCCTATTTTGATCACTTTAAATAGTTGGTATTCAGTTTCTTAATATGTGATTTTATATCCGGTACCTTATGGAAATTCAGCGTATGTCTACACGACAGCGTTATTTCAAAATAGCTTATTTCGAAATAATGCGTCTACACACAAAATGTGTTTTGAAATATCTTTTTGCTGTTTCGAAATAGCGTGTCCACACTGAGTGGACGCTGAATCGTATTTAAGGTCAGCCGGAACTAGGTCTGGCAGGGCACCGGGTCAGGACTTACTGTGTGGGGCTGCTGCCTGAGGGTATCGGAGGCCTGTGCTTAAAGGAACCCCCCCAGACAGCCAGTTCTCAGGTTTCCCTGCTTGCTTGTCTACCTCGATGAGGGACAGCAAAGCATTTTGTCTCTGTGTGCTTTGGATGCCCTCACTCAGGACACCACAGCACTCTGTAACATGGAGCCAGAGCTGCCCATGGGCACTCTGGTGCTTCTCTTGGACACATTGCTGTGAGCCTGGCTGCACTTTCTGCAGGCTGCCATCCGGGAGGTCCATCAGGGGGCTGTCATTATCCAGGAGGCCCTGCGAGAGAGCTTCCACTCTGAGGAGCACCAAGAGCCTCCCTGGTCTGCCCCACTGGGGGCTTGTGCCTCATTCCTCCCTCACCCCCCTTCCTGATGTCAAATAAAATACACGTATTTTCATGAACACAAGCTCTCTTTATTTAACAAAACTGGGGAGGGGAACTGAAACTCTGTTGAGACTGGGGAAAGAAGGTGGGAGAGGAGAGAAGATAGGGTGAGAGAGGGGAGGGGGAAACCTGGGAGGCGGGAGCTGGAAGGGGGAGGCAAGGGGAAGAAGGGGGAGGGGAAGCTCAGGGCTCAAGATTGGGGGTCTCGCCGAACCAACTTGATTTTCATGCAAACCTGCTCCTGGGTTCGCATGTGGCCTTTGGTGGCCAGGCTGGCAGCTATTCTGCCATAGATGGCCATGTTCCTCCATCTAGTGCGGAGATCATGAACGTTGGGGGCATCCCCCCCCAAACCTGAATAAGGTCCATGATCTCCACACTGGACCAGGAAGGGGCCCAGCCTCTGGCTGGCTCCTGGAGCTGGCAGACTGCTCCTGGGGAACAGTGGAGGGCTGGCTGCCAGTGGCTTGCTGGATCATGTTTTGGGGCTACTGGGTCAGGCGCAGTGACTGCTGGCAGGCTTGGAGCTGGCACAAACACACTGGCCAGAGTCTACCCCTTTAAGGGCTCCGGGAAGTGGGGGAGAGAGTGGAGTGTTTTTGGTTGAGGCTGGAGTGGCCACCAGGGCACCCTGGGAAGGCTGGAGGTCCCCTATTTCAAAATAGCTATTTCGAATTTGGCGTTCTTCCTCGTAAGATTAGGTTTATCAAATTTGAAATAAGTCCTCCATTATTTTGATTTATTTTTGAAATAACGGAATGGCTGTGTAGACGCTAGGATAGTTATTTCGAAATAACAGCTGTTATCTTCCTGCTCAGATGCTCAAATTAGGTAGTAAATCAGTAATGACATTTTCAAAAGCTATTACATTTATTTGAGAAGGCCTATTTTAATAAATCCTAGTTTTCCCTGAAGGAAAGATGTCTAATTATAATGTTCACATATTGACTCTTTTATCTTGCACTCAGATATTTTTCCCAGAATAGGTATCACATTAGTCATCTGGTATTTTCTAGGCTCTTCTTTCCTAAAAGTATCAAAGATAGGTGTCATTAGCTTTATTCAAATCTTGGGTAGCTCTTAATTCACTGAACATTATAGCAAAGATTTTGAGACTTATTTTCTGTACTAGTATTTCTAAAATTCTGTGTAGATAAATGCTATGTCTAGCTGCTTCATTTTGCAGTGCTCCTTTGTCTCCATTGTAATTTTCTTCTTTTGTAGTATAATTATTTAAATAGTTCCATCAATATGAGAGGGGGGGCACTTGAATAGCTAGAACTTGTGCATATAGAAATCCCTGTCTTATTTTCTTTTTCTTTTAAATCGGTGTCCTGTTTGTTTAATATGTAAGACGAGTAATTTCCAGCATAGTGCAGAGAGGGCTCATGACGGGCTAGCTAAAATGGAACAATGTGTATTGCATACAGTATTACCTATTCTGGTTTAAACTGAAGGAGCAGAAATCTGGAGAAACTAAGAATGAATCTGATGATTTGCATATATGCATATTCATTGCATTATTTACAGAATCTGCTGATGTTCTGTTTGCTAGAATTTAAAACTGACAAAGATGGAATATGGAACATTCTTTAAGAATACAGTAATTGCTTTGCCCCTGGCTGACTCCAGGTAACTAGGGGCTCCTTAAGGCTGTGGCCCTGGTTGCTTCTTGCCTTGGAGTGAATGGAGGGTTGTGGTTGGTTGCTCACTCCTGGACTGGCTGAGGGATCTTCCTGCCATCAATTTGGGGCAATGGTGGGCAACCTGCGGGCTGCATGCTACCCACTTCGGCTCCACCTGTGGCCCTTGGAGTCCCTGGCTGCCCTCCTCTCCCATGCCTATTGGGGCGTCAGAGGCCCACACATCCTGCTTCTTGCCCCTCACCTGATTCACGTCTCCTCCAAAAGTGCTGGGAGAGAGGAGAAGGGTGTCTCGGGTTCCAGTGCCCCAGTGGGTGAGAGGTGTGTAGGGGAGAGGGCAGCCAGGGGGTCAGCAGGCCACAGGTGGAGCCCCAGTGAGCCACAGACTGCTGCCTATTACCGAGGAGATGAAGGGCCACTCATGCAGCCTAGCTACCATTCCTGGTTGCCCTGGTTTGGGGGATACTGTAACTGAGCTCTTAGCTTTGACTATTCCTTGCACCCTCTCTTGTGAACATGGGAGCTCTAGCTGCACCTGCCTTGCTGCTGATGGAAAGCCCTTGAGGTCACAGAGAGGGAGCTAGAGGAGTGCCCAATGTCACTATATCTGTGGCTCCCAGTTTATGGCCAGGTGCAGATTGGAGGGACTGTGCTCTAGGCTACATCTCTGGTTAATCTTCAAGGTTGCAGTGTTAGTTGCATTGTGTCCAAAAATAATGAGACTGGCTTAAAAATCATGAGATGTGTTTTAAAATGTCTTCTAGTTTTGCGCCACGGGTCATGTTTTCAGGCTTTTTTGATGAGTGATAAAAAGTTTTTAAAAAATGAAAGATGAAATTCTCCTATAATCACCTGAGTTCAGGAGTTGGAACTGTAAGTAAACCACCAAATTCCACAAGATTTACAGTAACATAATAAGAGCTGGTATCACTGTGACAGGCTCTCCATGGTTAGACACCTGAGAACACTTATAGTTAGGGATGCTCTGTCTGGTTAGACCAGGGGTAGTGTGCAATAATTTTGATAGGGGGGCACTCCAAGATTTTGGTAAGTGTTTAAGTGGGGAGCAGAAGGAGGTGGGGTTCCAGAGGAAGGCTCTGGCTAGGAGGATCTTACCTTAGGCAGCTCCCTGGCCAACAGACCAATGGGGACCCTGAGGCAGGCTCACTGCCGGTTGCAGCCCCATGCTGCTCAAAATGGCTGGAGGCTCCCACCATGTACCGCTCTATGCTGCAAGCTCCTGGCAAGGAGGGACTTTGTGCGCTGTCCCCACTGCCTTCCCAGTCATCGCAGCTCCCATTGGTCAGAAACCAGTCAGTGGGAGTTGTGATGATTGGCTTGGGAGTGGGGGCAGTGTCTGAAGTCTCCCCCTTGCACCAGTAGAGTGCAGTGGCTAGGGGGAGCAGCTAGCCATTTTGAGCGGTCTCAGGCTGCAGCAGACAGAAAGCTCACTTTGGTGTCTTGGCATGGCGAGCCACAGACCAGATCAAAAGGCTTGACAAGCTGGATCTTACTTGCCCCTGGATTAGGGTCTCCTTGGATCTGCAAACCAGGAGAACCTGCTAGAAGGTTCTAGGCATAGGCAAATTCAAAAAGGTAGCTAAAAATAGGAAACTTGCTTCCAAATCCTGAGACTTAAATCATCTGATGAACTGTAACTTTCTGCTTCTAACTTTTGTGTCCAGTAGTGGTGACTTTCTTTTTTGCAATTACAGTTATCACCCAGCTGAAACAAAAACTTGAAAAACTGCAGAACAGCAAACTTCCAGAAAGCTTTAGAGTTCCATATGACCCGGGGCTGAGAGCAGGAACACTTGTGGTAAATATATTTGATCATTTGCAAATACGTGTGATTCACAAATCTGCCTTTTCAAATTATGTACCCAAAAGTCTTGATTCACTTCTGCCACAGATATCCTCATCTCATCTGTGGATTTATCTCAGTTCACTTTGACAGCCCTATCTTTTGTGTGGGCTTTGATTCATAGCTCTCATCTCAAGGAAGTATAAGCAAAAGGCTGCTGCTTATTTCATGTTCAAGGAAGAAACATGGTGACAAAACACTAATCCTCAAATAGCAGATCTGGCTTCCCATTAATGTCAGGATCTAGTTAGAAACTGGCTTTCTTGTATCTAAAAACTTCTATCTATAGACTTGCTCCAGTCTACTTTACTTGCTTTGTATCTGTCAAGTCCTCCAGTTATTCCCCTGACCTGTGATGGATCACAGGCCTCGCACATGAGTCCACTGGTCCTCAGGCAGCACTCAGACCATGACTGCCAGCAAATCACTTAATAGCTAGGGAAAGGTCCAGAGAAGGTCTAGCTTGCACAGGACCCTGCCCCAAAACACTGGGGAAACATCCAGACCCCCAGCTGTCTAATGAGAACAACATAAACCAGGAAGTAAAACAGGAAGCCCAGCATCCCTGCCTGCTCCTGGTTCCTGCTTCTCTGATTGCTCCTGGTTCCTATCCTCTCATCCCAGACTCTGTCTACTACCAGTTCCTGCTGTCCTGCACTACTTTGGCCCCACTGATCTGCCTTACCTCTGACTCTGGCTCTGACTCTAATCCCTGGCCTAGCACCTGACTTTGTCTCCAGCTTTGAACATTAGGCTTGACTCTGGTTCTGACCACTAGGTCTGACCACTCATGCCCTGGTCATCGTACTACCCATCTAATACTGATCTCTCCTCTACATCTCAAATTATTTGATTGCCTTTTCTTCGCTCTCTGTCTTGAGTTATTACCTTATTTTTAAAAACAACAAATAGTCTGGTAGCACTTTAAAGACTAACTCGGCTACCCCCTGAAGTTTTTTACCTTATTTTTGTAACTATTATTTAATTCTGCAAAGGGTTAGAGTTTAAGTGGTGGTGATAAAGAAAATATTCTGTTGTACAGTTCAGGAAGAGAGGCACAGATGGCTTTGTATTTGCAGAAGTGGTACATTTATCCAAATGCAATAAAAGCCATCACAGTGTGGTCCTGTCTTTTAACATAACTAATGTAGTATCATTTTGTGTAAAATGACCAGAGGTGTAAAAGTCTCTTCATTCATAAGTCTCAGAGAGGTAGCTTTGTTAGTAAGGTTGTGTCTAGACTACATCCCTCTTTCGGGAGAGGGATGTAAATTAGACACTTGGAAATTGCAAATTAAGCTGGGATTTGAATTTCCCGTGCTTCATTTGCATATCCATGTCATGGTGCTTTCGAAAAAGTGCTATTTCGAAAGTGAAACCTCAAGTCTAGACACAGCTCTTTCGAAAGAGCGCCATGATGCGAATATGCAAATGAGGCATGGGAAATTCAAATACTGGCTTCATTTGCAATTTTGAAGTGTTTAATTTACATCCCTCTGTCGAAAGAGGGATGTAGTCTAGACACAACCTAAGTGAAAAACTTAAAATAGTTCTGCAGCATGGTAGAGACTGTTGTGTCCTGTGAGTACTTAGGCACCATGATCACAGATATTTATCTGTAGAGGTAGGTTGCTGTGGTGTGACTATAAGTCAATTAAGCAGTTGATGGGCTATTTACATGCTGTAGATAGAAGTCAGAATTATCTGGATGGAATTTTCTTTAGACACTTTGCTGTCACATCTGTATTTGATGCTTTCCCTAGAGCATGGGTTCCCAAACTGGGGGGTGTGAAGAAATTCCAGGGGGGGGCGCGAGGCGACCCAGACTCCCTCCTCCCACAAATTTTGCTGCCCAGTTCAGTTCCTTTTTTTCTTTTCTTTTCTTTTTTTTTTATCAACAAGTTTTGCTGCTATTTTTGGGGGGGGGGACATGACAGTTTTTCAAAAATCAAAAAGGGGGGCGTGATGACAAAAAGTTTGGGAACCACTGTCCTAGAGATTCTGAAGCTCACAATTCTAGCAACACTTCTCTAGACAAGGGAAATAATTGAATTATAGGTGCAAATGGTGCAACATCAGATGGCAGACAGTTACTCACAAGTTGTCTTTTTCTTTCATTCCTTGGATACTAAGCTCAAAATAATCTGTGAACAAAGAAATGTTTATTGTAGAGGTCACTTTAGTTCAGTGTGAGTTCCACCTTCCCTTCAGACTTTTTATATTTGTTCATAAACTTTTTTGGGCTAAAATTTTCAATATGTAGTTTCTCAGCCCCAAATGTTTGAGGCCAATCAATTCAGTATTTTTAAAGTAATTAAGATTAAAGGTTGGGAGTTTGACAGGTAGCTATAAAGCCAAACTAATTAAAATGCTCTGAATCAAAATAGCCCAGCCTTGCATAAGCAAGAAAAGGGTATTTCAAAGCAAAATTCCTTTCAGAACCCCCACTTCCATCTGTTCTTAAAGCAAAGGCTATCTCTAAACTGCCCTAAATTCTTGAACTACTGTCTTGACTGAATTAAGGATCCTTAAGTGATTAAAGAGGGTTAATTTACTTAATATTTTTAAGAATAGTGAATTAAGGAAACCTCTGTTAGCTCCAAAAGCGAAATACAATCTGGCTGTGCAGGAGTATTAGACAGGAGCCTTTGGGAGCTCTAGCTCGTTTTCAGGTTCAAAGAACTTACAATGATTTTTAAACTCCTCAAACTAAATATAATTACAGCTAAGATTATGTTACAGAGGTTGCAGAAGTCACTGAATCTGCAGCAGTGGAGGACCCTGCAGTAGCCAAGCCTCAACGGGCAACAAAGGACCTTCTTGCAGTTGCCCACCAGCTGAAGATGGCAGGATGCCCTGGAACTGACCAGCCATTGTTGCCTTCTCAGTTGTCCAGTGCCAGGAATCTGTAACCAGTGCTCACCTCTTCCTCGCAGCCCTCAGGTGGCAGTGACAGCAGAGTGGCTCAGCAGCTCTAAGCACACAGGAACCTGTCCCAGCCACTGGGCCTTGGGACAGAGCATGGGTGAGGTCATGCCCTGGCCTGCAATACCTGTCACCCGTGATGTCAGCTTTGTTTCAAAGTGACCTATCAGTCTCAGAAAGCTCAGCTCTAGTCAGGCTCCTCCAGGCTTTGTGGCTGCCTGACTTTGACAGGCTTCTGCATTTTAAAAGTTTCCTTTTTCCTTTTTTTTTTCCAAAAAATCCTTTCAATATTTTTAAATAACTTTTCACCAAATGCCAGTGATTGAAGATTCAATAACAGTTGGCACATTAATAAACTAAAAATCATTATGCAATATTTCCTTGTTTTATCCCTAAGCCGTTAGTTGGATTTGTTTCAAGTCTAGGCTATTTTAATCTTTTATAGATTTTACTTAGTTTTAATACAGTTATTCTTTTTCCATTTACAGAACACTTCCATATAGGTTTTTACTTCCTAATGAAATTTATCTTACACTACAGTTAAGCAGAGCTTTTAGATAAATGTGTTAATGGTTAAGATTCATTTCTTTTATTCACTGATCTTTCTTGGTGCTCACCTATTTCTGCTTCCAAAGTGCACAGCCATCTGAAAAAGAAAGCACAACCTATTGTGGCTTCTTTTTGGAGTCTCTACACGGTTTTAATTGAATAGCATGTCTTTACATTTGTTTTATCCCTCGAGATATGCTGCATACTTCATGGGAATACACCTTCCTTCTGTAGTGCATTTCTTACCCTTTATTTGCCATGAAATCTTGATAGCCATATTAATTTTCACATCAAATGTAGCTATTTGTTTCGTGAATAAAAAGTTTCCATGTACATACCCCATGAAAGTGATTGTCTGATCACTCAAAGCCATCTTAAGACTCAGTATTCAAAACATTTCTGCTCCTCTAACAGTGGCCTCCCCATTCACAAACAGTACTTTGCTGTTACTTCAGAGGTATAATGTTTAATTTTCCATTCACATGCTGCAGCTCTTTTAGTTGCTGATTCATGACTACAAAAAGATCAATAGTCACTCCCTACTTTCCTGATTCCAGCCATCCATGCTATAGCCACAACTATGTCCTTGAGACCTTATTTAAAAAGATGTTGCATTTTATAAAAGTATTGAGGTAACTAACCCAGATGACATGAGCTACTTATGTTTGGCGTGAGGAGGAAACCAGATGACATGAGCTACTTATGTTTGGGGTGAGGAGGAAAAACAACAACAACAACAACAACAACAACAAAAAGAATTTAGTAAAGATAACAGCAAACCTTGGCAGCTGCTCAAAAAGTTCCTGTCAGATTTTGTAACTTTAAATGAAAGATTGAAATGGCTTTTTAGTGGAATCTTTTAAAAGACAGTTCGCAGCTGCTCAAAAAGTTCCTGTCAGATTTTGTAACTTTAAATGGAAGATTGAAATGGATTTTTAGTGGAATCTTTTAAAAGACAATTAATTTTAGACACATAAAATAGGGTTCTACAAGCCAAGAGTGTGTTTTTGGATCCTTAAAACCTGACTTCTTAATTACACAAATATATTTAATTTTTTTTTCTTTTAAGTATTTTGATCAATGCCACTTGTTTTGTTTTTAATTGTATTTTACATAACTATACCCTGACTACTTTCTTTACTAGTACATTTGGAGGCAGTCAAGTTCAAATGGAAATCTCTTTTTTTTCTTTTTCTTTTTTGTGTGTGTGTAATTTTGATTAAATTATCCATAGTCCAGTGATTTAAATCAGAGTATCTTTCTGCCTACTGCAGTCATTTACAGTTGATTTTTACAGACTATTCAATGCCTATTCTCCTTTTGAAGATTCCTGGGACAAAAGCACACCTTTTCTCTTTCCTCCCTGGGAAAACTGGATTGAGTTATACTGCCACAACCAGGTTTTATCAAACCAAGCACACTCTTTTCCTCTCTTATTGATTATTATGCCCAATATCAGCTTGTGTAAGCCTTTCATCAATCTATAAAGTTTTTACTAATTGCATAAATATTCCCTTTGA